CCCTGAGCTCCAAAGGGCAGATTCAAGCAGCTGCTAATCAAGGGAGGCGCAGCCACGAAACCACCTGAGGCAAGATTAAAGGGACAAGAGAAGCTCATCAAGATTAGGAGACTGGGGACTTCCCTGGTGGCACAGTGGTTAAGAATCGGCCTGCCAATGCAGGGGACACGGGTTGGAGCCCTGGTCTGGGAAGATTCCACAAGCCGTAGACCAACTAAGCCCGTGCACCACAACTACTGAGCTTGTGCTCTAGAGCCCGTACTCCACAACAAGAGAAGCAACCACAGTGAGAAGCCCGTGCACTGCAACGAAGAGTAGCCCCGCTCGCCGCAACTAAAGAAAGCCAGCATGCAGCAAAGACCCAATGCAGCCATAAATAACTAAATAAAAGATTAGGAGGCCGACCACCTGAGACCCTGCACACACCCTAATCTTGCCAGCAACTCCATCCTTGGGAAGTACTGTTGTAAAACTCCTTATCAAATCCTCTTGGGTTGGGACACAACCCCTCATGGGTTTTGGAGAAAGGAGACTGCTGTGTCCCTCTTTGCCTGGCAAAGTAATAAAGCTCTCCTTTTCTATTTCACCCAGAACTCTGTCTCGATTCGATTTGATTCAGTTCGATTCGGCACTGGTGTACAGAGAAGCTGAGCTTTCAGTAACAATATTATCTGTTTCATAAATTATCTTTGGAATACAACAACTCCTTCTGCCAGTCACCCAGATGAAGGAAGATTTCTCACTGTGTAGTGACTCTGCCTCTGACTCAGCCTGGCGAACACCAAAGCCCAGTGGAATAGTAGCGCACTGTAGAGTTACATTATCTTGTTTTCCCTGAGCCTCCTTACGCACAGCTGGAAGAGAACTAACTATAAGGACAAAGGAAAATATGACGAAAGTCAATTTGAGGTTGGTTTTTCTAATATGTATTTGAGTGGCTATATCAAGGGAATTGACTATATAAAAGAGCTAGATTTTTTTTTCATCAAGAAAAAGAATCAATTAGTATCCTGCTTTTGAATTATTCTACAAGAATATCCTTCTGCCAAGTATTCTGTGTTATGGCTTTTTGATGTAAGTACCATTTCCTTTGAACTTTTGTCGTTTTTAGTTCAGCCAAATTGACTGGCTTCTTGAAAGCACTATTTTTGGACAAATACAAGGGGAAATTAATCATGATGCCCAAGTGATGGTCTGGGTGTACTATTTCATTATTTTCAGTTTAGTCTAAGAAATATGTAAGCAGTTTTTCACCCAGAGAGTAAAAATGTTCCAATTTATTAGAAAGTACTTGTTACTGGAAGCAGTCAAGGACCGAAGTGTAATCATGGAAACCATCCCAGCTGCTTCTATGCAGGCAATGCCGGCCAGTAATTGTGCTGAAATGGCGAGCTTGCATCTGCTAAGGTGTGGCTTGAAAAGTCTGGAAGACATCACTCTCCAAGACCAAGGGAATGACATGACCAGTTCCAGACAAGACTCCTTAAAATGCAAAAATCCCTGGGAGGAGCAACTCCATTTCTAATGCATGTTGTGAAGGTGAACTTCAAGAGTTCACTGGACACCTCACTGGCAAAAACAAAACAAGACAAAACAAACAAAAAACCAGCCAATTTGCAAATTTTGCAAAAAGCCAAAGCTAACAATAAAGGTCAAAGGTCATACTGTCTACAATGTTGGTTCAACAAATTCCCATAGATCGCACAACAGATTCCAAAGACGGCAGAGTACTGGTACCAGAAAACACAGAGAATTGTCTATAATGTCCAAAACCCTGGCTATGGAGACAAAGAGAATGAGTGAGATCAAAAAGAAGCCTAAGAAAAAGAAAACTGGCATGAAGAGCCTGAGTGAACCTCCATCTCCTAGTTTCCCCCCAAGTCACTCCCAGGGTACATCTCCTACAGGCAGACTTGATCTCGGTCTCACCTCCCCAATATTATAAGCCTTATTCTCTGTGTGTCACCCTCCTGATTTTGACCCGTGGTTCCAGTCCCCCACAAGGCTGACCCTCATAGATCAGTGAATATGAAGCCTCAGGGTTGCATGGTGCCCAGCCCGTGGCCATGTGACACTCCTCCCCGCCTCCCCAGTTTTCTCAAGATTGAGATCACACCAAAATGCAAGGCTCAGGTCATGGTCCACTTCCTTGATGTGAAAGAAACCTTCCTCACGTTCTCTTACCTAAAAAATTCTCGGGCTTTCCTGGTGGCGCAGTGGTTGAGAGTCCGCCTGCCGATGCATGGGACACGGGTTCGTGCCCCGGTCCGGGAAGATCCCACATGCCGAGGAGCGGCTGGGCACGTGAGCCATGGCCGCTGGGCCTGCGCATCCGGAGTCTGTGCTCCGCAACGGGAGAGGCCACAGCGTTGAGAGGCCCGCGTACCGCAAAAAAAAAAAAAAATTCTCATCATTTCACAAAATGGCTTTGGCCCTGGAGTTCACAGAGTGAGTCTACTTCAAAGAAATCCTGAAGACGAAGAATAAATATAAAGGTCATAGAGCCCACCCCTGCACATTCCCCGAGTGGAAATGTTATAAAGGAAGGGAAACTGAACTGAGAGACACAGAATCTGGATCTGGAGCAAACGTTAACTAAATTGCTGTACGACCTTGGGGAAGTCACATAACTTGTCTGAGTGTCAGTTTCACACTTGAAATATAAAGGAGGTGGATAGACACCTCAGAGCTGCTTGTCAGCCCTGATACTTTATGGAACCTCGGAACAGCACATGCAGAGGAAGAGTATTTGAGTCATAACACAGCTGTTCCATAAAGGGAGGTGATAGGTGGCCTTTGAGATCTGGGAGACAACTCACTAACTGCTCATAAATGTCAAGCTGAAGAGCATACAGGCCTGAGCCGAGGGTACCTAAACTCTCTGTCTCTCTTCTCAGCACCAGATCTTTAGACTTTTTTTTTGTTTGTCTCTACTGTGGCAAACCTGGCCCATAGCTGTCACATTTTCACCAGCCCACTCACATTTGCTAATGCCGACTCCCTCCCACTCTTAGCTACAACACACACACCCCCTCCTGTGACGATGAAATGTAAATATGGGAAATATAAATATTCCTCTAAATATAGGAACAGTCTCATTTTTAACAAATCTAGTATTGCAAAATCTGCATTTACAAGTACAGATACTTACATATGTATGTGTGTGCGTATAAAGATATGGGGGGATGGATTATTTGCTTTGCAAATGAACTCACCATGAAATTCCTTATAATATCAGGTCCTTCATTTCTCCACTGACTCCCCTACAAATATCTTACACTCTTTCCTTATGTATTGCTGCTAAAGGTATCCTATTCACAAAGATTAAAGGAGAGCAAAATGCATTTCTTTGGCACCTTCTACTTAATTTCTTTAATGTCCCGGGTGTATGGGCTTGTATTTTGCATGCCTAGGCTCTGGAACCATATCTGGAAACACCATGAACATAAAAGCCACGTGAATCTTAAATATGGTCCACAATCTACCAGGATATAACATCCTTCTACAGAAGTTAGAGTCTAGAAGAGCCACAGGCTTCAGACAAGCCACCATGCCTGGAGGAAATAAGCTGATGACAAGTGCTTTGTGAAGATTTCTTAGGTCACTGTTGTACCTTCCACTCAGGTCAATAGCTGTAGGCTGGGAGCAGCTTAAAAAATTGGACTAATATACTCTGCCTCCTTAAACAATAAATGTTAATAGAACAATAACCACATTTCTGGCAGTGGTGAAGCTATTTTTAGTAATGGTGGTGCTCTGTAAATTTTCATCTTTTGCTGTGAAATGCAAAGGTGATTTTGCTCAGCCTATAAATGGTAAGCTCAATCGCACCTGTTTGTTTTTAATTTGAGTTTTGCATGTTTTCTATTTCTCTTTACCCCAGGGGTTTCCTTATCTGTAGGCACTCACAGATTAGAACAGGAACAGATCAGATCCCCCTAGTTTAGGGTAGGTTGCAAGTAATATGTCTGATGCTAGCAGCACCAAACAAAGGCTTCATCTCATTCAATTTTTAGTATTCCCCTAGAGGCTTATCCAAGTTAAGAACCTAACAAAAACAAAAAGGAAAACAGCAACCTCACTCTTAAATCATCCTCTCCTCAAAAAAAAAAAAAATGTTATTGTTTCCCCACTTGGAGAAATATAATTGTCCAAGGCTCAGAAACTCAGAAGAATCCCAGCTCCCTCTTGGATCCTTAAAAACATTCTCTTAGTGGGGGACCTGGCAGCCACAGAAGGTGGTGGGGATGGACAGGGGAAAATGCCCTGGACCAAGAATCAGGAGACCTAAGATGAGATCTGGACAACCCATTAACCCTTCTGGGCCTGTCTCCTCATTATAAATTATAGATAATGATACCCACATTATTATTGACATCGAATGAGATAATAGACTTGAAAATGCTTTGTGAAAGTATCAAGTTTTCACAATACAATGCTCTGCTGATTTGAGTGCATCTCAACTCCTATGACCTTGTAGAAAATTAAAGTTGAAATTCACAAAAAAGAGAGAAAAGAGTAAGACTGGCTTAAACAAAGTTTCCTTCTGTTTCTCTCTGTCTCTCTGTCTCTCCCTCTACCTCTTTATCTCTCTTTTACTCTACCTTCTGGAAAAAAGCAAAAGTAGCAATTGATCTTAACTCTGCCTTCTAATAATCATGACTTTTTCACAGTTTGCAACCACAGTCAAGGGCTAAATTAGATATTCTCATTGATTACCTACTACTAAGTGTTAAATTATTATCAAAATTATGTCATGAAGAAATTTTCTGCTTCTAGAGAAGCTTGATGTTGGAATCTGCATCTATTCATTTATTCGTTCATTCAACGAAAAACGTGTTCAGTGCAAACTTGTGCCAGGCACTAGGGATGCAGGAATGAATAAGGAAAACAGTCCTTTTCCCCATGAAGTTCACAATCCAGTGAGGTAGACAGGTTCATAATCTCTTATTTTATACCTTCAGACTAGAGACACAACAATTGAAAAAATTGGACTCTACCTGCAGCTCCCCTTCCATTATACTCAATAGCTGGATGAGGTCTTCTTTGGATAACTCCAAGGATTTCTTATTCTTTCGTTCACTTTCTCCAGATGGTTTTAGGTGTCGTTTGACAGTTCCTGAGGCCATGACATCTTCCTCCTTTCTATTTGATTTGTTCTTCTTTTTTGAATCTTCCGAGAGACTTTTATCATCAGCATTGCTGATGATGGAGGACTTGGGGCAGGAGACATGCCCGTTGGATGAACTTTCACCACCCTGGTTTCGGGATCTCATTCCCACCTACAACACATGAAAAAAGACAAGATGTTTTTACCACCACTGAAATTATTTTTGTCTAACTACTTAGAAACTAATAGCAGCTTTACAACATCACCAAGAAAGAAAAACCAAAGGATCAGTCCCAAGTTAGCTTCCTTATAGCTTTAATGAACGTGCCGTTAAAAACTACAGGAAAATACTTTGAACACCTTCAGGAAAAAATGGAAATGTGATTCTAACCTCACAAACATCTCAAGCCAAGTAATCAAGGTCAACATCAGTAAGGCCAAGCCACGTTGATAGCACTGCTGATTCTATCAAGTATCTTTGATAGAATGTGATAAGAATGATCTTCCTTCTCCAAAACATGACCCAAGTCTAACAATGAGAAAAACATCAAGCTGATCCCAACTGCGAGACACTCTACAGAATGCCTGACCAGTAATTTTTAAAACTATCAAGGTCATCAGAAACAAGGAAAATTTGAATAACTGTCACAGCCAAGAGAAGGCTAAGAACACATGAGAACTAAACATAATGTGGCATCCTGGATGGGATCCTGAAACAGAAAAAAGACATTAGGGAAAAATTGAGGAACTATGAATAAAACATGGACTTTAGTCAATAATAATGTGGCAGTATTGGTTTATTAATTATAACAAATGTACCACACTAACGTAAGGTGTTAATTACAGAGGAAACTGGCGGTGGGGTGTATGGGAACCCCCAGTATTATCTTGGCAATAATTCTGTGAATCTAAAGCTTTTGTAAAATAAAAAGGTTATTTTTTTTAAATGATTCTAAATTGTCTATCAGAAAATGCAAACCTCAAACCCTGCCAGGAACAAGTTGGAAGTCACAATGTGCAGAAAAATCCACATAGAGTGAGGGCTGGCGGGGCTTGAAGTAGAGAGAGAAAAAGGGAAAAGCCAAGGGAAGGGGGGGTAGTTTTTAGTGATATGGAATTCTATTTTTCCATAGCCTCTTTTTCAAAAGCAGGTGTTTTTTGGTTTTAATGTCAGTCATTTACAGTAATAAGAACAAGAGTACAAAGAATTGGGAGAAAACAGATCAATTTCAAAATCAAAATTTTAAAAAATATTTTGAGGTAAAATAAAGAAAAAAAGACAAAACAGCAGTTAATCTGTCCCATGGGGAGCACGTTTGAGTCATTCCATTTTGAACGCTTTGCAGAGTCTGGGTCAATCTCTGAGCAAAAGAACTTGACTAACAGGAATGATACAAACAAACACACTGAGCTCAAAGGCTAAGCCTCCAAGTTCAGGGAAGATAGCTCTAATATCCTGGGGGTGGTACCACAAAACTCGCCTAAACCCTTAAATAGAGTAGCTTGGTGCATGGGCTTATTTAAAACTCACAGTATAAATAGTCTTTCCCTTGAACAGCTAAGCAGCAAGATTTTCATTACTCATTCCAGAGAAAATACAGAGACTTGTTTTCTGAAAGTAAATTTCCTTTATGAACCCAACCATAGTTAAGAAACCAAGGAAAGCTTTTCAAAACACTAGGTTTATAATAGAAAAATAAATACAGTGTGATGTTTCCTTTTAGATAGTGAACATTCAATTCTTCTAACAAATCTTGAAATCTACATTCATGCTCCTTTTTTGAACTGAACCCTTACAACCAGATGGACCCTTTTGTGTGTGTGTGAACTTCCTATAGCACCCTAATTTTGAATACTATAAACTGAAAATGTGGTCCTTAATACTAGCGCCGTGTTTTCTGGTTTACTCAGTGATTAGTTCCTGAAATTTTAGAGCATTTTTGTGCTTTGCTGGTGAACAAAGAATAAATGTTTCTTTGTAATGGAAACCAGAGCACTTTAGAGCAGACCTACTGTATTTTCTCACAGCTTGTTTGTGGCAGAGTGGGCTGACTGAAACCCCAAGCCAAAAAAAAAAAGGACGAGACGAATAGAAGGTTTTGAATGTCAGCACAATACACCACCCTGAATATGCCTCTTTGGCATATTGATTACTTTAAGCTCATTATTTTTAAGAAACAGCAGATACATGAGAAGCTCTGAAACCTGGGTAGAAATTACCCTTTTTTTAAGACATATTTACGTTTATAAGGGAAATCTCTGTAAGGGTGTCTCCCTCGCTGGACCAGGAAGAGAAGGATGACTCTAAAATCTCTAGAAACTCTTATCAATGCAGAAGGCAATGACTTAAATCTGCATTTACGATGCTTTCCTTGTTTACTGTGGTTTCCTCATAACCTCTCAAAAGTGGTTCCCCAACTCCCGACATCTTTCTTTTGTCTTTAGCTGAAGCTGGTATTTAAGGTGATGGCTTGGGCCATTTCAGAGAGTTACGTGGTTTTCCTGGGTCTCTCCCATGTATACCGGAGGTATACGTGTTATTAAACTTCTGTTTGTTTTCTCCTACTAATCTGTATTTTTATTACAGGGTTATATCAGCCAAGAATCTTAGAAGGGTAAAGGGAAAATTATTTTTCCTCCCCCCACAGTCTCAAATTTAACTCTTGACCTGTTACACATCATAGCTAAGACACATGGGCTTCCCAAATTGAATTGTGACTCCCTATGGCTCCATGCCACATGTGAATTTCTTTGATCTGAAATAATTTTCTCTTTTAGATCTTAAGGCTCTTTGGGATGGTACATCAAATATTGATTTAACAACTTCAATTTAGATCATGCATTAATGGAAGTTCCAGGAAATATTTCCCAAGGCACGGGAAGTAAGATGGTAATGTCTGAAAGTTAATCATACGTAACATTTGTGTTTGACTCTAGCAATGTGCTTGTGTCTTTTTTCCCTGGATTTCCTGTATCTTTGATAGGATCTATAGCATTAGGATATTTGTAAAATAGGACAAATGCATATCTATCTATATATTACATGCACTTAATTATATTTGCAAACACACAGAAAGTGGCATTTACCTATCTTTACCTCCACAACAAAGTCAGCCGTCAGCACCTGTTCTATCTCAGGATTGCAAAAGTACTCAGAGGTAGCAAACTAGTCAAGAAATGTTTTAGAAAGGAATTGGACAACATGTAATAAGGAGGAAAACATAATTTCTCAATAGTGTAACCAAGCCTGCCCTCAATAATATCCACTTTAAACCACTTTATTCTACTTAGTAGGAGATAGAGTCCAGACAGGAACAGACTTTCATGTAACACATTTAGTGACATTCATACTCTTCTGTATTCTAATAGCTCTCACTGTTTTACATACAACATCTGAATTAAATTAATATTCACATCAACCCTAGTGGGTGCTATTATTCTCAGTTTTACACGTGAGGCCACTGAGGTTTAAAGAGATTAAATATCTTTTTCTGGATCACACAGCTACTCCTAGGGAATAGAAGAGCTAGGATTTGAACCCAGGTGTGACCCTAAATACTTACTCTCTATATGGCTTTTTTCTAAGTTCTTAAACACATGTAAATTGGAAGTGAAGGGGCCACCCTGGAAAGCAGGTGACCCAGACAGTTTTAGAAATGTTTTCTAAATTCATGTTTTTTCACTTCATACTACAGAGTTGGAGCAATTCATTCATCTGTCTTCTTCCATAGGCACTCTTGCAAAACTCACACAGCAACTGAAATTAGGTTGCTAAGCAAAAATACTCTTCCCAAAATAATTAACCTGCTGCAGACCTTGTAAAATGATGACTCATTTAAAAACCTTTCTGAGAAGCAACAGGGCTAATTATTAAGGATACAGGTTACGAAAACAGGATGTAGTCTGAACAGGGACCATTACAGACTTAATGTGTTAAAAGTCCCGGAGTTGAACAATAGTAAATAAACATTTAGTCAGAGTTGGCCAAATTCTGTCCATTGTGCTCACAGGAGTAGCAGGCAGATAACAGAAAGGCATCTGGCACTCTGTAGGCTTCCTTTTTTTTTTTTTTTTTTTTTTTGCTCACGGGCCCAGCCGCTCCGCGGCATGTGGGATCTTCCCAGACCGGGGCACAAACCCGTGTCCCCTGCATCGGCAGGTGGACTCCCAACCACTGCGCCACCAGGGAAGCCCCTGCAGGCTTCTTAATAGTTAGTTAGGGGTGGGGGCAGAATACATGACCCCAAATATGCCACTTTGGCATGTGGATTGTTTTGAGCTAAAGGCAATCAAAACCCAGCAGACTCAGGTAAAGCTCATTTCCTCCCCATCAACTGCCTAAATTTACATTGGAAAGAGGGTCTATACCAGGAAGAGAGATACGTTTTACCTAAGAAACGTAATCTGTAATAGGGCAACATTTGTTTTTCAAACATTTCCCCTGCCTTCCTGTGAACGGCCTTCCTCCCCTTTGTATCCCCAGACCCATACCCCTTTCCTTAGCTCAAGGTTTTATTTAAGCTTCAATTACCTGGCTGCCATTCAGGTCTCAGATTTTCATGGGACTCCTGTATGTATAAAATTAAATTTGTTTTTCTCCTATTAATCTCTTATATCAATTTCATTATTAAACCAGCCAAAGAAGGTTGCGACATGTAAATAACAAACTTTCTGAATGAAGCCAAGAATGCTTTTGCTTCGCCCCAATGCATATCCTTTGAAGAAAGTGCTCCTCAAGAAAATGGTGTAAAGAAATTGAAGATTCACATCAGATTTATAACTGCTTTGTTGTTTTTTTCTTTTTGAATCAATGTTATTTGGGGCACAGATTCTTCTATTTAATAAGTAAATCATCCTAACAGAGTTCATGAAATACATTTACTTTTCCTTGCATAGTAATTAGTCAGCAACACTTTGCATGGAATTTTCTGACTACGGTGTGAAGAAAAGAAAGACCAAATTTTATTCCAAACCTCCCTCTTTTAGGTCTATGGTCATCTCTCTTCTTCCTTTTCCTCCCCATATGTTGGGCAATAAACAGTGTACTGTCCGATGAACAATATCCTAGGAATCAGAAAATATTTGTAGCAATTTTGAGTAATTTATACTGAACTAACAAGTATTTCTAGAGCCTTTGAACAAGTAAAAAGGACAAAGAAAAAAGTCCTCAGC